GCTGACTTGGGGACGCTTGGGGTTCTTAAGTTGATTCTGTATGTAAGTCAGAACTGGCGGTCAGTTTCAGCAGCGGCTGAATCTGGACGCTAGTTCCGACTTACATACAGATTCAACTTAAGAACAAACCTACGGTCCCTATCTTGTACGTAACCCGGGGACTGCCTGTATTCCAAGCACATGAAGTTAGTGGGTTTAAAAACAAAAACCAAAGCTGCAATAGGTAAGGCGTTTTAATGTGTGACATCCTTTTCATTGCTGTCTTTTAATGCTGCCAATCTGTTCCCAAAAAAACAAGGACTGAAACAGCATGCATTGTTAGGAAAAGATTTCATGGGGTGTCTGAGTTTTTGTGTTTAGCTAATTATCACTTGCATAGGGGAAAGATCAAGCTATAAAGACAAGAACAAGAAGCTTATATGTACTTACAGTTGCATTACTAGCCTGTATTTAACCAGAGTTTGAATAAATTTTTATTCACTCTTAAGTGTGTTTATGTGAACACGTTCTGTATCTGACTTGTGATTTGATAGACTACATACTTATTCTCATGTGCTTTTCCACACAAGTGTGACTTTCAGCTCTTGGAAGGAATCTATGAATACTGGTAGTCATGAATGTACATGTATGCAAACATTGAATTTGTGGTTTTTATTTACACGTGAAGTACTTTGAATCCATCCTTAAGTATCCACTGCTATTCACTAGGGATGTGAATGGTTTACTAATTTCAGTTAACTGGTAAGGGTTGGAGCGCCCCACCTGCTATGGGCAGAAGGCCACTCCAGCCCCATGGGACCACACCACAGGCAGGGACTACTCCAGCTGGCCCAAGCAGCTCTTGACTGTGGTAGGGAAATCACTTCAGCCTCCCACCTGTTCCTCCTTTAATCAGTTAACCAATTAAACAGGATTTTATGTCTCTACTGTCTACTTTGAGATTACTTATTGCATGTAAGTCTCCCTGCTAGAGAAAGTTGAAGCCAATAAAACTGTCCTATCTTTTTCTTTTTTTCAGGAAGGGTCCAGGTATTTGGACCATATAGCCAGCATCTGTACTACTTGTCTAAATGAGGACAGGAAAAGATTTTTTAAAATGTCTTAGATTTCAAGTCCAGCTAATCTCCACCCATGTTCTTTATGGTCTACCAGGTATTTCTTAGAGCTCTGAAAGAGGAGGGGTGCATGTACGCAGGGACCCAAACACTGAGCAGAGCTATCAGGACAGGTATTGTGGGATACTAGTGGAAGCCAGTTCTGCCTACAAAACAAACAGCAGTGTGTATACTAGCTCTTTATTGACAATACAGGAGGGGAAAAGAAAAGTTTCTCCTGAGGTGAAGTTTGTCCCCAAAATTGAGGGTTTTTTCCAGACAAAAGTTGCACTGCTGTGTTTTACGCCTTCACTGTTTGGTTGGCAAAAGGTAGTTTTTGGTCACAAAACGTGCTAGTGTTGACATACCCTGAGAGAAATCCATATGGGAACATGTTCCAGCAGCAAAGAAAGATTTGATATAATCAACAATTATTTCAAGGACCTGAGTGAACAAGAGGAGATAAGTATGGGTAATCTTTTCAGAGATTCTTCTGGTGCTAAGTGTAAGCAAAGACAGAAAAAGTTAATACAGACATCCCACCACAGCTTTCCTGTGTTGTTTAGGCCACCTTTTGAAAAAAACCTAGACCATGTTAGTCAATGATTTTTTGAAAGCAGCTCTCAGCTGTGATCCAGTTTAACAGTTTGTTTCTGCCCTGCAGAACCCTATTAAACACGTGGTAGAGTTGATTATTATTATTTTGCCTTAAGAGTTTGAATTACACCATAGAAATGTTTGAACATACCTACTTGGCAGAAACTCCTGTTTCTTAAGAAAAGACCAACAGGGTAATTTTGGATTCTAAACCATCTGATTCTAGAGCACAGCAAGGAAACAAATAATTACTTACACTACGATAGCTGGTTTCATAAACTGAAAGTTCGTAATTAGAAAGATATACCTGGCATTGCTCAGGTCCTTTTGGGCAAGGGGTGTGGAAGGTACAGGAGTCAGGGTAGGGGCTTGGAGATGTATGGGGCTACAGGTAGGAGGCTGCAGGTGTGGAGGGGTGTAGGAGTTAGCCTTGGAGGATGAAGAGCGGACTTAGGACAGGGTGAGATCACAGGAGTCAGAATGGGTTGGAAGGTTCAGGGGGTTAGGGTGGGGGCAGTCAGTGGTTTCTCTCTGGGACTATGGTTGGCCACACAACCTACCTGCTGGCTTGTCCGTGGGGATGTCTTTTCCTTGGAGGCCACATGGCCCTATGTGTGGATGCTCCCCCAAGGGTAGGTCAGAATGGTGGATGCTGTGCTGCTGGTCAGTGGCTGCTCCCTGGAGTGCTTGCTGTCCCCCGTGGTTACTCTAGTATAACTGCCCCTGCTCTCCCATTCCTCCCTTCCATTTGAAGCAAAACAATCACGTTCCCCACACATCCCATTGTCCTGGCACAACCAAATCCTGACTTTGTTTTAAGTTATAAGAGGAAGCTGCATGCTGAATTTGGTGGTCCTAGCTCTTGCCATTTAGGAAGAGTTTTTGAACAAATTAACTCAGATGGACACAAATGTACAAACGCTCTCAATATATTGTAGATTACAGGAGGGACAGTTTCCTCACTTGTCTTATGTAGACCCTGTCGCATTATCAGTGTTTAATAATTCCTTTGCGTTTACACATGCTGATTGATAGTTTCAGGCTGTGAACCCAGAAGGAAGATTGCATTTGGTTACACTTGGTTCATGTGTTTTCTTCACAAAAATGGGAGCTAGAAACCTACTGTAAAAAAAAAAACTCATTTAGATTCTGTACAAACTGTTTGTCACAATGACTACATTAATAAATTAGTTACACTAGGTAGGGCTAGGCCAGGGTCTTATGCCCAGCCTGTGGTCCAGTCCTGTCCAGAGCAAGTGCCCAATGTGTTCCGCTTACCCCACTCTCTGTGGAAGCAGAAGCTGGAGGGGATGTGTGTGCAATCGCTGCTGCTATGTGGTGCGAGGCTCCTCCCTGGCGATCTCTAAAGCTTCATACTCCAGGGATGGACTGCCATGGGTGGGATGAGGCCAGAAAGTGTGGAGCTAAGGTGCTGGTAATGGATAGACTCCTTCAGCCTGCCAGGAGTTCCAGGCTGGATTGTGTAATTGCTCCAGCCAGGACTGGCCCATGGGATGGGAGTTGAGACCCCTGGACTAGGATCTGACACCTAGATTTATAACAATGCTGATGGAAGCCTTTGGGTGTTGTTACGTTACTGTTTGCCATTGCATGTTATTAGTCTTCCTTTACCAGGGTGGTATTGATCTGCTTTTTTTTTCTAAAGCACATAGACTAGACATGTCTAATTTAGCTCTGACCATCACCCAAAGATAATTTCACAAGTTTCCAAAACTGGAACTTTGCCATACTATTATCTCTTCCCCCTAATACCCTAAATTTTTCTCGCAGTAGCTTAAAATGCATCACTTCTTATTCTGTCACCATTA